ATAACCAACTCCCTGTGAAATAATTTAAATAAAATAAAGCTTCGACTCCCATAATTCCACCAAAAATATCAATTTTATAAACTGTCAAAACTTCGTCCTCCGTGGGCAATTTTCAAAATAAGACATCTCATGTCCGCCTCAGTGGCTAGAATTCTTAAATAAATAAAACAATCGTACACCTAAACTCCAACGACAACAGTGACGCGTTTAGCAATAACATCCATAAAAAAAACAATAGTTCTAAAGAAAACAAAATCGCTCCTCGGGTCAACACCTAGCAATAAAATAAATCCTAACGCTACTCGTACCAAACGACCCTTCCCTCTCTCCTCATCAACTCGACTAGTGATCCCTCCTCGGTCAAGCCCCCTCCACGTCATCACCACGGTCGGCCCTGTTCACACCTGAAAACAAATAAGGATAAAGGGGGGCTGAGTACATAAAATACTCCGTAAGTAGCCCACCCTAACTAAACACCACAACACGCTTGTAATCACCACCAAATCAAATGAAACATTAGCAGAACAAACAGATAGGCATCGCAGGATATTAATATTAGATTAACATTTCCATACAAGCAACTAAATGCCTAGACTTTCGGGACCCCGACCACACGACCCACTAGCCCTTGTCCCTACTCGAACTAATACTAACTCCCACCCTATGTTAGTATTCCAAGTCTAACTTTTCGAGGCGTAACGGCTCTTGACATTGATTCCCAAGATACAACGCTTGGTGTTCGACCTTGCCATTTATCCCCAAGGTCTTAACTGTTACTCACAAGCACCACGCCACGATAGTCCTCCGAGTCTAACTCTTAGAGTCGTATTGTCCCTTGACATTTATTCCCAAAGCCCCAATACTTCCTTACAGGAGCTTGAAGTTCGACCTTGCCATTTATCCCCAAGGCCTTAAACTGTGCACCGGTCCTTGACATTTATTCCCAAGGTACCTGTAACGCCCCAGAACATTTTACGCTATTCTAGGCAACGTTATTCAATTCCCCTGTCAATTATTATTCTCTAAACCTGAGATCAACGACTCCCTGTGAAATATATATATAACATAACGCCTCATCTCTGTTCAACACTCCAGAATTAAAACAAAAATAAAACATCCATTCTATAAACTTTCATCCATGCGTACTCCGTGGACAACGTCACATGGCAACATCCATTATTCTAACTAAACAATCTCAATGAACGGAAGAAAATAAAAGAAACAGTTATTCCGAGTCAAGTTAAACAATAGGTGGGAACTACCATCAATTCACTTAGAACAAATAGTTTATTACCAAAACAATCAAGTAAAAACTATCTAATCCTAAACTAAGCAAATATCACTATGCAGCCTATGGTCCTTTCCTGTCATGTCTCCTCCACGTCATCGCCATGGTCGCCAATGAACTCTCCGCCTGAAAACAGAAATTGTAGGGGGGGTGAGTATATAAAATATACTCCGTAAGTAGCCCTTACCACGCCACACACAAACGTCATGCTTATAACCATACAGAAAACATACATCGTCATGCACTATCATTACAGTATGCAAACAACCATAGACATGCTCTACAATTTCATTATACATTCAACCATAAACATGCTCTATAAGACCCGATGCTAACCACAATCATATACAAATCGAC